AATTCTTTTATTAATAAATCATTTTTACCATTTTTTTTTACCGAAGATCATATCATTCAAAAATACTATTAATATTTTAGTAATCTATTCTACGTTTATTGTCATACTCAAGTATAGATCTTTTAAAAATGACTTCCTAAGTAAAAATAGATAGATAATTTCCATACTAAGGTCAATAGCGAAAAGCACACGTTGATATTATCTGATGTAACATCGACACTACAGCAATTTTGCGCAAATGGACAATGTAAGCAAACGTTTACATAGGAACTTATCGATCTGGTTCGAATGTTTCTATGAAAAACAAATGCATTGTATTAAACAATCGATGTAAGAATTATTTTCAATTTTTTTTATATTAAAAATTTTATATATCTATATTTTCCAACAATAACAGTTTTTTATCGATTAAATTTATGAATATTCTATAAATTAGATATATTTTATCGGATGTGTAACATGTTTCATATATGTAGATATAACAAGGAAAAAAATTTCTTTCTTTATCATTTAAACACAATAATAAAAAATAGATAATAGAAATCAATATTGTATTATTTAACAGGAATTTTTATCAATCTTAACGATAATACAAAATTCCACTAATTTATATTAATTAATGTCATAAAAATACTGATAACAAAAAAAAATTGGAACGCAAAATAAATCAATAAACAACTAAGAAAGAAATCACAAAAATTATGTAAATGCGAATAAATCTTAATGGAAGAAAAGTGTAGAAAATATTAATCGATGGAAAACTACTACTGAAATTATTCGACATTAAACTAGAAGAATTAACATTCAATTCAATAGAATATTGTCGTGAATTGAACTCATTGAACAGCACATTGAATGATTTCAAAGGAAAAACCAATAAATAAATTATCAGCAGGATTCTGAATTAATGAATCGAATCGTTCCCTGGAAATTGCCCTCTAGATCGAGGGCACAGATAGGTCGATATAACACGTCGAAGAAGTTACTAGTCATTCGATTTCATTTTCCATGAGGGGTTGTCTGCTTGTGTAAACTCACCTTAATTGCTTCGTGTAACTATGCATGTAGACATTGATAGACATATACGTCGCAATTGCGACACATTTCGATGCCGTATATCGATTGCAAGACCTTGCTTGTCTTTTTCTGTCGGTCAATATCGCGACGATCGCGAACCATGCGCCCATGGAAAAAGATCTCACTATGTTCAAACACGTGAACCGAATATTTTTTAATCCTACGCATTAATCTGACACAAAAATAATTTTTGTTAATTTATAGCAGAAATGAATAATAATTTGAGGGGACAATTTTTTTCCATTTTTTTTCTTTTTTTTTTTAAGTATGAAAGTACGAATCGTAAAATGAAAGTACGAATTGTAAAATAAAAATGTTTTACAATCTATAGATAAGATATTAATCCTGCAATTTGAATATAAAAATTATGTAAGTGAGAAGAGAACTCATTATGAAATAAAATGACGCGAAGAATAAAAATGATACATGATCTACAATAATATTGCCAACTGATTTCGTTAATGACTACAATACAGACCATGAATTATAAAATTGAATTATGTAAAGCGTGGACATTGAGTCATCGTTCAGAGTTATCAGAGAGACATCAGCTTGATGAATAAATAAAAGGAAATATTAACCTTGGATATTAACGATTTTAATATTGCTCAAATTGATTGTATTAAATATGCATAATTAAATAAATAAATTATGAAACTATATAATCTAAATAAAGAAAATTTAAAAAATGGCAAACGAAAGTACTTACCAACAGCTTTTATTACATTTTATATTGAAAATGTTCAAAATGTCTATGAATTTAACAATTTCTAAAAACTTATTAATTAAATCCCAATGATAACAAATCACGCTATTAATCATACTTTTAGCATAATCCTTATATTTTCTGATGAGAGAATCACAATATAAAATATATTGTTGCAATGATTATGATAATGCATTGAAATGTAAGATAATGGAATTAAAAAATATTACAGTTTTTAGAATTATAATAACCAATTCTATATTAAAATAAATAAATACGTTGTTGTCCTCGTTTCTCTCCAAATATAATAATTATCAATGATTGTTTCTACAGATTCAGAAATGTGAAAAGTTTTGCGACTCATTGTACATACTTTGTGCGAAAAACATTAATTAAAATGTGAAATCAAAATTTCTGTGTGAATAATTTTAGGCTTTCACGATCAGATGGTACAGATTTTATCCATAATGATTCAAATTATAAGTAATTGGATTCTTGACATTACATTAAAAAAATTTTTTTCAAAATTTATGGAAGCTTTCTTCTATTAGAATTTTAATAGTTCATTATATTTCGTATAAAATGTAATTTTTA